TTCAGAAGCTCCATATGGAACATGTACTGTTGAAATGACTCTGAAGTAAACCCTTTTATACTTCAGAGATATGTCTAGAAAATTCAGAAGCTCCACATTCAGCATGTACATGCTCCGCATGCGACATGCAGATGCTCTACATGCAACATCCAGAAACTCTACATACGGCATGCAGAGGCTCTACATGTAACATGCAGAAGCTCTGCATGCAGCATGTAGAAGCCTAGAGATAAATTAATCAACAGAAAGAAGGATTCAGAATACTCCCTTCTCAATGCGTACTTCTAAGAAGAATATTATCATTAAAAATTATGACTGCTATAACAGCATAATTATGTACTTATGGAAAACTCTTTATACTAAATGCAAAGCAAATAATAATTAAAATATATATCATAATGTAATCATCAACTGAAAAATAATGTTCAAATCAAAATTCAATCACGACAGAAAAACCAAATTTGAGACTTATATTACAAGTATTAGACTTAATTTGCAAGTACAAATAATTTTAATACAAGGCTTCTAGTCTTGAAATTATGCAAAAGAAAAACTCTTCATACTTCAGAGCTATGTACAGAAAGGCAGAATATATGTATGCAACATGCAGAGGCCGTGTCATAAATCAATGAAGGCCTAGCAAGATATAGAGTAAAGGCCATCTGATCATTCACAACCTTTTATTTAAAAGTCTCTACGATAATTGACATACAAGACGACCTTTCTACATAATACACTTAGCTCTTGAGTAAGAGCTCTATCTCTCCACGTGCTACGCAGAGCCTCTGATCCTGACTCCGTGCTTAATATAGAACTACGCAGACTATCTGCATGTACCACACAGCGAACCTGAAGTTGCCTCCATACTCAATGCAAACCTCTATAGAGGCTCTGCATGTTCAACACAGAGCCTCTATGTAAGTAAGTTTTCTACAGATTTGCAACTCTGAGTAACCATCTAATTTAACTCTGGAAAAGGATATTAGACCTATGTTCGTGAAATAAGTATTTATTTAGAAGCTTTTGTGATCATCGAAACACGTGATGGCATAGCACATGTAGAACCTCTATGAAGCTCTGTATAAAGAACGGAGTGAGGCTTGACAGACACAAGGGTGAAGAAATTTCCCAGAGTTAAGACTCAGACGGTCCAGAGTTATAAGTTTGTAGTCCACTTTTAGAGTATGAGGCAGAGCCTCTGTGTAGCTATGTATGAAGCATGGAGGAAGGGTTAGAGTGATCGTGTAGCACGTGCAGAACCTCTGTGAAGGTCTGTATGAAGAAGAAGAACATCAACGTAGGACATAAAGAGACAGAGCTCTTTCTCAACACTTAAGTGCAGAGCCTCTGTGTAGCTCTGTATGAAGCACAGAGGCAGGGTTAGAGTGATGGCATAGCACGTGTAGAACCTCTATGAAGGTCTGTATGAAGAACGGAGTCAGGCTTGACAACCACAAGGGTGAAGAAACTTCCCAGAGTTTAAACCGGAGACGGTCCAGAGTTACAAGTCTGAAGTACACTTTCAGAGTAAGAGGCGGAGCCTCTAGGTAGGACATAAATAGACAGAGCTCTTTCTCAACACTTAAGTGCAGAGCCTCTATGTAGCTTTATATGAAGCACGGAGGCAGGGTTAGAGTGACGGTGTAGCACGTGCAAGACCTCTGTCAAGGTCTGTATGAAGAAGGGGAGCCTCAACATACAACATGAAGAGACATAACTCTTTCTCAACACTTAAGTGCAGATTCTCAGCGGAGCTCTGTATGAACCACGGAGCCTAGCTCAGATTAACCGCATAGCATGTGCAGAACCTCTATGAAGGTCTGTATGAAGAACAGAGTGAGGCTTGACAGACACAAGGGTGAAGAAATTTCTCAGAGTTAAGACTTGGACGGTCCAGAGTTACATGTCTAAAGTCCACTTTCAGAGAGGCGGAGTCTCAACATAGGGCTTGAAGAGAGAGAGAGAGAGCTCTTTCTCAACACTTAAGTGCAGAGCCTCGGTGTAGCTCTGTATGAACCACGGAGGCAGGGTTAGAGTGACGCCGTAGCACGTGCAAAACCTCTGTTAAGGTCTGTTAGCTCAATTATTCCTATTTTGTAAAAGTATAGAAAAAGTATATTGCAAGTCTTGACAGAAGGATAACTCCACAGAAGACAACAGAGGACTAAGCGATAGAAGCCATTTGATCGAACAAGTGAAGTATGACAGAACCTCTGATGTCTCTCACAGAGGTTCTGGAAAATAGTCCTCTGTCAAATAGAACATGCAAGTCAATTACAGCAGAGCCTCTGAGATGGCTCACAGAGGGTCTGTGGATTTTGTCTTTTGTGAAGTTTTTGTTCCAACAGTTTTCAAAGGTTGTTAGCCGCATATGCTTCTCACGTGACTAGGGAATAATTGACTTTATTTGGATGGCTCAGATGAAGACACGTGTCAAGATCTGGTCTCTAAGGTCGTTAGGAACTAGTATAAATAGCGGATAGGATCTTTGTAATCAGTGTGCTTCCAGTATTGTAAACGTCAAATTTTTCAATTGAATGAATTGAAAACCTTTGGAGCAAATCTCTTGTGTTCATCTTCTTCATCAATACTGTGTGTTCTTAATACTCTGTTTTGCTCTTATTATTACTTCCGCTGCACTTCTTTTGTTTTAGAGCTTGATTAGAGTGTTAGATCAATACCAAAGTCGAATTCAGATCCAACAATTGGTATCAGAGCGGGAATTGAATTCTTATTCGATTAATTCTGCTTTTGGTATTAATCTGTGTTTTCTAGAACACCAGTTTTCTTCAGATTACCCTATTTCACTCACTATTAAATCAGTTTCATCTTGTTCTTATTTTTCCTCTTCAAATTTCAATGGCGAACTTGGTTAATACCTCGTTCATGAGTACT